TTGTTTGTTGGGGGGGGGGGGGGGGGACTGGGATGGTAAAAATCATGGTTTACAGTGCAGTACCACAATTGGATTGCTTTTTACAGGTAAACAATGTTTAAACTAAATGAAAATAAACAGTACTGATACTGTAAATGAAAATACGGTAATAATACTGTAAATAAAATACAGTAAATACATTATTGTACCGTAAATGCAATTACAGTAATAATACTGTAAACATTTTTACAGTTAATTACTGGCATCCAGCTGCCAGTAAGTTACTGTACAATTTACAGCAACCTATTTACAGTGCCTCTACTGTATGTCTCTGTTTTGCAGGAGGATGCAGATTTGTCCTGATTTGTACCAGAATCTGTGGGAGGTCTTCAGTTGGTCTTGAGCCACTTCCAACCCCAAAACTTCTCTGTATCAAAAGTGCTTCTACTCCTTGTTCGCTCTCAAACAAATGCCCATTGAGAAGTATTTGTCTCTAGTCTCTGACAGTCAGCATCATCCATCAGTCCTTGTCTCCAGCAAGGGCAGGATTCCTCTTCATGAAAAAGAAGAATGGATCTTTGTGTCCCAGCATTGATTATCGTGGGCTGAATGAAATAATCATTAAGAACAGGTACCCTCTACTCTGTATGTCATCAGAGTTCGAGATCCTGCAGGGGGCAGGTTTTTCAAGTAGTTGGACCTGCACAACCCTTACTATCTGGTCCAGATTCGGGAGAGGGAGAGGGGCGTTACTGTCTTGAGGGGGTGGCTGTGCCAATTGTGGTGTGGAGCACAGCAACCTGCAATATATCCAGTTTGCTAAAAGGCTGAATTTCAGATGGGCTCATTGGGCACTGTTTTTCGGGCATTTCTGCTTTGTCCTTTCTTGCTGGCTGGGCTCTAAGAACAGTAAGCCTGAGATGTGCCTCCTGACACCGTCTTGCCTTTGGGCTGGGTCATCATCTGGAGCATCAAGGGTCGTGTGAAGAAAACCCTGACTGGAGTGAAGAAACAAGAGCGATGTCCGGTGGGCCACCTGTTATTTGTTCCTGATATGGTTTGCTGAGGTGGTTTGCCTTGGGAATGTTTATAATTGGTCACTTAAAGTATTTTTCTCTGATCTTATTGTGAAAAGAGGTGTAAATGCCCTCTGAAATGCTTTCAAGATGGATTTAAAAAATGTTTTGACAAAATATTAAATGTGCACTAAGCGATTTTTGAAAAACGCTTTTTAACCACAATGTCGGGCCGAGTCCTAAAACACACTTGCAGCCAATCAGCAGTAAGGGGTGTGTCTAGTAATGATAGGGAGAAGAGAATGCTCAGGACGGTTATTAGCAGATCGACTATAGATGGCGAGAGATGGCAGATAAAAAAAAAAGAGGAACATTTCGGAGGATCAAAACATTAAAAATAAGGGTTACGATCAGGCAAGAGGTAGGACCCACATAGATATCGGAGCAGCTTTCCAGCGGTGGAGAAACTCAAGGAGCAAGAAGGGAATTGGACGCTGAGGTTGCTTTTGTTTCTTCTTGATAAGTGAGTTAAGTTTATTTAGCTTTTTCACACAACTTTTCTGTGTTGGTTTTTTCTTGAATATACTGCGGCCGGCAGGCATTGCAGGTTCTGCCATTGTACGCGTAGGGCAGAGTTATCAAAATAGGGGCGAGGTCCTGTTGGGGTATGGGCGTGTTTGTTATGGTGCTTTCAAATATCAACATCGTTTGGCAAAAATCGCTTAGTGGACCTTTAAGTGATTTACTTTTTAGGCACAATATGTCTGTTCTTGCTCTATTTTGCAAATTGTTCCAAATAAAGCCACAGCAAAACCACTGAATGAATGACTGCCTGACTCATGATTTGCTGGTTTTAGTTTCAAATTGCATTACATTTTTTCCCAACACAATTTCATATTTTATTTGCAAAATGTATGTTACATCTGCATTGCAAAGATGATTTTGTTGATTCTGATTTCAATCATGACGTATCAAATACTGTTTACCTCTACTCCATTTCAATAAAGAATACCATCTCAACTGCCGTTTTATTTGTTTATGAAACTATTTATTTAGCACTTTTTATTTATAGCACATATTCAACATGTGCTTTTATGAACAGTGTACACAGTCTCAATTTTGTCATTGAATATTCAGTTTTATATGGAAATACTATGTCAGATTTCAGAAGTGAAATGGGATCCAAACAATTCAGGTTTACTTCATGATTGTTGTCATGTTATAAATATGCGAGCCCGGTCTCATGAAAATGCGTATAAATAGTACGCCAAATAAAAACGAAAACTCGTGGTATTGATACGCAAAAATGGACTTTGGCGTGCATATGATACGTTCGGTAGTTCATGTTTTAACATGTTCTGAAGCTTTTGGTTATAGCTATATTTTATTGTAGGCTATAGTGTCATATTTTGGTTATAGCTATATTTTATTGTAGGCTATAGTGCCATATTTTGGTTATAGCTATATTTTATTGGCTATTGTGTCATATTTTGGTTATAGCTATATTTTATTGTAGGCTATAGTGTCATATTTTGGTTATAGCTATATTTTATTGTAGGCTATAGTGCCATATTTTGGTTATAGCTATATTTTATTGGCTATTGTGTCATATTTTGGTTATAGCTATATTTTATTGTAGGCTATAGTGTCATATTTTGGTTATAGCTATATTTTATTGTAGGCTATAGTGCCATATTTTGGTTATAGCTATATTTTATTGGCTATTGTGTCATATTTTGGTTATAGCTATATTTTATTGTAGGCTATTGTGTCATATTTTGGTTATAGCTATATTTTATTATAGGCTATAGTGTCATATTTTGTGCTTAAAATCTCCACATGTATCAAATCTGGATTGTTTGATCAGGTAGTGCTTCATTTTAAACCTAGATTAGGCCTTTAGATTTAGGCTTAAAAATCGTAGGAAACACAAACATTACCTCATTATCCAGGGGTCACATTGTTAAAGAGAGATTGAATTTAGCCCTTGCTAAAGGAAGTGAAGAAGCAGTCTGTGTGTGTGTGTGTGTGTGTGTGTGTGTGTGTGTGTGTGTGTGTGTGTGTGTGTGACTACAGTGAATGAGAAGTACTGCTGTGTCTGTATGTGTGCAGTGAATGGCCAGTGCGGTGTTGCTGTGCCTGTGTTGTACAGTTCGTACGGTAAATGATGAGGAAACATTAAGAGCAGTCTGTCCGGCCCCGCTGCCTGACAGCCACAGCCGAAATTCAACGATTCATCCGATGGCGTTTGAGAAACAAAGATCAGTTTCACTCGTAAACGGTTTGGTTGGCGGCAGCGATTCCAAGCTGTGTATTCCCGATTCGAAAATGAAGTTGAGCTCCAGCTTTCCTCAGTCTCCAGCCACATCCGATGCATTTCTTCTGTCGCTTTCCCATATCGGCCGAGACGATGCAGCACTTCCCTGTGATGCGGTAAGAGCAGCCGCAGCCTGTGTGTGTCTCACTCTATTTACTTACTGCTTTATGAGGACATTAAGTCGCTGTTATTTATTAAGACTACACTTAAAGTGTCATTTCTCAAGGAGACATCAGCGGTTACATAATAGCCTGAAGTAAGGCAGGCAGAGGCGGTGAACACGCTTTATTTCATTCAGAAAATCCAATCGATGCTGCTTTCAAATTGTTCTTTCCCGTGAGAGTTATCAGAAATAAATGTCGTTTTACATGGCAGATATATAAGCTACTACTGTAAACGGGATAGACAAGATCATTCGTATATCATTCGAGCGTCCAAAAACAAATTATGCAATTTGTGTCAGTGTTTTAGTTAATTTGTCCATCACACATACACATAACCTGCTTTTATAAATAAACTGAATTAGCATATGTAAAATACATTTTAATTGGTAAAAATAAATACTATTACTTTATTTTAGTACATTTTAATATTTAATTTTATTTTATTTTATATTACAGTATTTTTGTATATTTAAATATTTCATTTTATGTATTTATGTATTTCTAATTGTATTATTTTTAAGTATTTTAATAATATCTAATAATTATAGCCTAACAATAATACATAATAAAATAAAATGTGTACATAAATATTAATAAAACGCAAATAAATAAATAAATAAATACAATTGTTCAAGTGACCACCCTTTGGAAGTTTAACTTTACTATCTTTACTAGCAAATAGGCCTATCGTAAATCATTAGGTAACAGTAGCTACTTTATAATATATCCCTTGAAAGGCGTAACGATTCAGATGCACTTTGAGTGAGAAGGACAGTTTTCATCGGTCATCGGACAGAGTTTAAGAAGATGCTCCTTCATTTTACGCTTTTACGCATTTACGTTTTGATTATTGGAATAACGCTGCATTAATAACGGGCTCATGGTAGGCCTACAGTAGTACAGGAGGAGTAAATTTCGTTTCCTTGGAAACCAAAGACTGTGCTGCTATACCAGCCACCTCCATTTTCAGGACACGAGGTAATAATACACCAGTGTCTGTTATATAACTTCATATTATTTATATTTATTTGAATACTTCTTAATGCAGTCTATCTATTTGCGAGCGACATAATCTAGAGCGTAGAATGCTTGTGCCAGCACTATTATGTATGGTGATTGCGGTATTTAGAGAAGGCATTAAAGCGGATTGAATCAATTGATTGAATCAATATTTCAGTCACGTGAGCGTGCATCATTGTAACTTGATAACTTTATCAGTTATCACTGAATGATGGGATGATTAACTGTCTTAATAACCCTGAGTGAAGGACTAATGCATCCATACTGATTATATATTGATTATATACCATATAGCTATGTTTATGTGACCATTATCTGATAATGTGTGGGGCTTTCAAGAATTAAAACAATAAAAGTTTAATGCAGCCTTATATTTTTTCTCCATATATTATATTCTGCCCTTAGAACCTGTCCTATTTATTTGTATTAGTATAGGCCTATGTCATTCATTCATTGAACAATACTTCATATACGAAAATATCTAGTCAGGCATATTTCGAACAAGAATCATTAGATGACATTGAAAGACTCTCTTTAAGGATCACAGTGAAACTAATTCATTGTCATTTTAAATCTTTGCCAATCTTTGCCACTATCCTTCCAACCAATAGGTTTTACCTATTTGTCAGCAATCATTTTTTAATCATTTAAAATATGATAAAATTTAGTATGAAGACTTTTTATGTTATATATTTTATAAATAATAATAATAAGTATTATTATTATTGATTGGTTTAGAGCAGGGGTGTCAAACTCATGCCCCGTCCACACAGAGACACGTTTAGCAGTAAACGCATACATTTTGTATTATAGGCCTATAGGCGTTTCGTCCACACGGATCCGGCGTTTTGGGAGAGTGAAACCGGGTCCCAGAGTGGATAAATCTGAAAATGCCGCCCTTGCGTTTTCGTGTGGAGAGCGAATCCGTATATTTTCTGAAACAATGACGTCATTAGCCCACGTCTCGCCCCCAGTCAGACACCGCTACGTCACGTAACAGCAACAAAAACATGAACAAACACTTAAAACTTAATTATGGATTTAAAGTGCACTTTTGTACTTTTCTTTTTTTTATTTTTAGTTTGAAAACACTACTAATACTCTTTATGTTAAAAACTGCACAGAATGGTGCATAAGTATACACATATTGGGATGCACCCTAGCTTAATGGTACACATCTCTTACAGGATGAATTTAGGGGGACAAAAACAACAATGGCAACATCTCATCCCAGCTGAACTTTATCATTAGCATCTGTTCCTCTGTTTTTGTGATCACCCAGCTAGTAACCCCATCAGCTTTTTAAAACCTCTGTGATGGTGACGCTGGTAACAGCTTTGGGCTTAATTAAAAATCCTATCACTCACTTATAGTTTACCTAAAACTGAAACTTCTGTCATCATTTACTAACCCTATATTATTCCAAACTATAACTTATTTCTTCTGTGAAAGACAAAACGTAATTTTTTTTAAGAATATCCTGTGCACTATTTTCAATGTAGGCCTATTGAATGTGAATGATGCTTTTTTACTTTTAAGGTTACATACTTAGTAACATACAGTAACTTACAAGGTTACTGTTTTTTTAAACACCTACTGTATGCCTATTGTGTTGCTGCAAGTGTTTAATTCATTTGCACAGAAGTTAAAAATTTAGTACACAACTGAAATGAAGCCCACTCAAGGGTGCAGTGTACCTTACCAATAGCTTTCAGTGCACTCAAACACACAGGCAGCTAACTTTAAAATGCTCTGAAGCCTCGTTAGTTGCCACTGGCATCAATACAGAGACAGTAGGGCTGTAGTTCCTTATTGATTTCATATGTTGCCATTCTGATTGCTCAACATGCTAAATCAGGTCGGTTTGAATCTCCGCAATTATAGAGATCACTTTTAGTGGGCTGAATGGAGGAAGTCAAGAAGTGAGAATAACTGAGAATTTGTTTATTAGATTGGAATTTTTTTATGTGCCAGGTTCTTAGAAATGTAATTTTTGTATTCCTGTTTTGGTTGATTTCAGGGAAAAATGCAATTTTCAAGAAATATATAAATGTAATGACTCTAATAATTCATGTGGTTTATCAAGTAAAAAGTAATAAAACATATTAACCTTGCACCTGCAGTACACATGAGTGTACACATATAATTTTCTTTTTAAATACTTACATTTTTTTTTATTATTTAAATGTTATGAAATTTAATTCTTAAACATAAGAATTAACACATGACATTTTTAAAAAATGTAACAATTTTTAAATTACAAAAATGTCCAAATTAAATCATTATAGAAATGTCATTGTATCTATGAACTGCTTTTTTGTTGTTGTTTGATTGATTGATTGATTGATTGATTGATTGATTGATTGATTGACAAAAAGGACCAAAAAAAAAAGAATAAGAAAAAAAAAACGTCACTGACCCGCTTATCAATGATAAAATAATCAACCAAAATTCACATCTACTGTATGCCTTTGTGCATCTGTGGTAGTTTTTTGGCAAGACATTATTTATATATTTTTCTAAATATTTAAAAGTTATTTTAAATATATGAATTAGCTATAAATATTTTTATATACTATATTTATTTGTGTGTGTATAAGGCATCATTTTATGGATTCTGACATGGATTATGAGAGGCCAAATGTGGAGACTATCAAGTGTGTGGTGGTTGGAGACAACGCAGTTGGAAAGACCCGGCTTATCTGTGCCCGGGCCTGTAATGCGACGCTAACACAGTACCAGCTACTTGCCACACATGTGCCCACTGTTTGGGCAATAGATCAGTACAGAGTCTGCCAGGAGGTGAGGAAAGCCTACTGTCATATTCTTATTCATAAAAAAAGTATATGAAACATGTGGATGTTTCTGGATGCATCTGGATGCCACTTTCTATAATTTCCCTGATTAATAATCTGATAAAATGTTAAAAAATGTGTTGTATGCGGTTTCTTGGGTAAATCTCCATGCATGTGATAGGTATGTCTCTCCGGCCAGGTTCTAGAAAGGTCCAGAGATGTGGTGGATGATGTCAGCGTGTCCTTGCGTCTCTGGGACACTTTTGGTGACCATCACAAGGACCGCAGATTTGCGTATGGCAGGTGAACTTGGATTACCTCTCTTCTTCACACTAGATTAATGCTGCGTCCCAATTTGCCTACGCCTTTAAAGTATGTACTCTTTTGGTGAAGAAAAAAGTACACACTTTTGAGTGTGTAGTAGAAGAGTAGGCACGTTTTGGGACATACTATCTCATCATACAATTGCATATTTAATGGACCACTCTGTCGCATAGTTACACACTCACTGTCACTGTAACCTGGCCTGTTAATCATCTTTTCACAGTTAACTTCCTCCATATTTCATTTCATTTAACTTCCTACTGTATTGGAGAGAAAAGTAGTATATTGATCTGCCAGCCGTGGGTCTTTCATGCAGATAACTCTTTTTGCATAATGATGCGTTTAAAAGTTAATGACTAAACAGATGTTTATAAAAGTTTACATTATTGTTGCAGATGAAATATAACACAGATAATATAAAAAGAAAAAAAAAAATATATATATATATATATATATTTTTTTTTTCTTCTTTTTTTACCAGGTTAAATGTTGATTAGTAGTAACTCAAACCCTTTTAGCTAAACCTCTCTACTTATCCATCGGTCGCACACATCCGCCATGTTTGTAGTTTAATTTTAATGTTTTTTATTTGTGTTTGTAGTTCTGAACCGAATCCTTCACCAAAGTGCAATGGATTGTGGGCAATATTAGCCATTACAGTGTGCATATATCCACATGTATATTTATACTAATTTATGAAAGATTAAGTATTTTTTTTAATTCTTCTTAATTTTTAATGTTGTCCTTTTCCCCATATTTTTTTCTATATTTTGTGAAGGTATTTACACCTGTAGTAGTAATGAAAAATGTTGGCGTAAAAAAAACAAACATAAAATCACAACATGATAATGAGTAAATACTGGATAAAACATTTTATGTGGAACATATATAAAAAATTACTTTAAATGTTTTTGAGCTTTGTACAACAGTACTTCCATTAAGATACTCATTTTTCCCCACAAACATGTCAAATTCCACAGAACTGTATCAGATTAAACCTTGCTCTCACAGATAAGCTTAAATTGTGCAGAAGTTAAATGTGACCCTAAAATGGTTACCAAGCAAAACCATTTTAACCAGTTAAAGAGTTGTGTCTGGTTTCTTAACAGGTCTGATGTGGTGGTGTTGTGTTTCTCCATTGCAAACCCGAACTCGCTCCACCATGTGAGGACAATGTGGTACCCTGAGATCAAGCATTTCTGTCCCAGAGCTCCTGTTATCCTAGTGGGCTGCCAGCTAGACCTGCGGTATGCTGACCTGGAGGCAGTGAACAGAGCTCGCCGCCCGCTGGCCAGGTAAATTACCACAGCAAATGCAACTATTGGAAGCCATTAATGCTAGAAATTTCACAGTTGTATGTTGCAAACCAGTGTTTCCCAACACGGTTCCTTGAGGTACCCCAACAGTACACATTCTGGATGTTTCCCTTATCTGACTCATCTGTTTCAGGTCTTGGAGTCTGTGCAATTGAGCTAATTAGTTGATTCAGGTGTGTTTGTTTAGAAGGAGATTGAAAATAGGTGTGTTCGACTTGAAGCGGCGCTGTGCAGACCGATCGTTGTATGACATCAAAGTACTGTGAGAGCTATAGAGAGCAGACGGCTCCTTATGCTTTCGAATTGCTCTAGCGGTACTTTGATGTCATACAGCGATTGGTCTGTACAGCGCTGCTTTTAGTCGAACACACCTAATGTGTTGGGGTGCCTTAAGGACCCGGGATGGGAAACACTGTTGTAAACATAAATTTTACTGTCTATGATATCTATAACATTATTTTAAAATAGTTCACTCAAAAAAATTATAAAAAATTCCAATTCTGTCATTATATACTTACCCTCATGTTGTACCCTCACCTTTTGCAATGTATCTTGACATGTCATATAAATAACACATGAATACGATTTGAGAGCAGTGGTGGTGGAGGATTTTCAGTGATTAATTACTAAAATTAGTCTGGTCCTCATGAAACTGCTATTATATAACTTATTTATGTGGTGCATGAGATATAAGGAATAATTTTTTGCTATTTTAACAGTGCTATCTTGTAATATTTGAAGCTCGCCAACACCTATGCCAGGGGTGTCCAATCCTGCTCCTGCATGAAGGGCCACTGTTCTGCAGAGCTTAGCTCCAATCCTAATTAAACACACCTGAACCAGCTAAGCAAGTATAGTATAAGCTTGTATATCAAGAGCAGGGACACGTTTGTGCTCTGCTCTTTTGTTTTGTGATTTAACCGGAATGAATAGATAGTCTCAGCAACATCATTAAGCGATAGATTGTGTGTGAAGTCACAAAAGAACACTAATAACATTGGCAACGAACATTCAGCATGATTTCAAAAACAACAGATTCAAGCGCCAGATTGAATCTTATTTAACAGAAAGGAATGACAGCTGGATATGTTTCATCAGCATTAGGTACATACATGCCTCAAGATGTTTCAAAAAAAGTGATGGGGACAATATCGACCCTGGTGATATTGAATGACTAGGGGTGTGCACAACTAGTCGAATATTCGATATGTAATTATTATTCGAAAAATAAAAACACTAATCAAATTTTACTATGTTTTGCTTTGCTGGACGTAAATGCAGGGAATCCATGATAAATCCTAAGCACGCAAACTAAAAGTCAGTTATAACTAAATGCACTGGGTGGCGCTGTGGAGCGTGTTAACAAGTTGATTGTATTTGATCACAGAATGTCGTCATCTGCCTCGCAAAGTTTGGATTTACTTTGATCTAAATGATCTTACTAAATGATCTGATCCTAAGCACGCAAACTAAAAGTCAGTTATAACTAAATGCACTGGGTGGCGCTGTGGAGCGTGTTAACAAGTTGATTGTATTTGATCACAGAATGTCGTCATCTGCCTCGCAAAGTTTGGAATTACTTTTGATCAAATGAATCAGTGAAACTGAGTTATCATAATATCACCACCACAATGAGAAATCACATGAACACTAGTCAACTGAGGAAAGACAGCTGTCCATCACTGTATTCACGACTGCAGATAAGCGCAGATGTACCCCGAGTGAGCCGAGGAGAGAGCTTATATGATAGCCAAATGATCTTGAGACATATGCTTCCTTTAAATTTCCTTGAGGGAGAGTTTAAGAACAGAAAACACAAAGCGCTGTAAGAAACTTTGCTTAGCACACCGTTATCTTTGTGTCTCTAGAATGTCTGTCTGCACGCGTTCTTATTGTTATCAGACTGAGGAGCCAACTTTTACCCGAGCATGTGGATGTTATTGTTTTTCTCAACATTAACATGTGAAACAATATAACAACTGTCTCCAGTGTCAGTATGTACGTTCTGTACTGTAATTGGCACGGTCTGCTTTATTTTTTCTGTTTGCTTTGCTTGAGCTTGAATGCTTTTTTTTTTTGGTGTGTGTGTGTATATATATTGAGATATAACATAACGTTGTTGTAGAACATTTTTGTGTACAATGCCTAATCATACGTTTGTTCAGAAATGGTGACAAAAACTTGATTATTAAAAAAATAATGTCTTTCTCATTAAACATAATTGAAATAAATTTATATTTGTTTTTTTTTTATGAGCCCAAATATTCAAATACAATATTTTTGAAAAATTCTCATCCTTAAATGACACATTTATGCTGCCCTTCAGAAATCAATGAGATAAAGGTAACTCAGTAGACAGGATATAACAGATAGTAGGATTTGGACGTGCCTTGTTGCATTTCTACCTCAGAATGCGCAGGCATTTTTCAGCTTTTGGACGCAGTAATTAGAAACTTCCAGACAGGTTTGTTGAAGCTGGTTGGAGCTAAACTCTGCAAGACGTTGGCTTTCCAGGAGCAGGAATGGACACCCCTGGTCTTTGCCCATTCACTTTCCTTGTATGGTAAAGAGTAAGTCTTTTGGTTTTCCACAAAAGAAAGGAAATCATGCAGGTTTGTAACGACATGAGGGTGAGTAAATGATGACTGAATGGTCATTTTTGGGGATAGCTAATTCTTTAGTATCATGCTGTTTTTTTTTGTTTCAGACCCATTAAATCCAATGAGATATTGGCGCCAGAGAAAGGCCGTGAGGTGGCTAAAGAACTAGGCATCCCTTATTATGAGACCAGCATAGTTGCTCAGTTCGGGGTTAAGGATGTTTTCGACAATGCTATCCGTGCAGCCCTCATTTCTCGTCGTCATCTGCAGTTCTGGAAGTCTCATTTACGAAACGTTCAAAGGCCACTTCTCCAAGCCCCCTTCCTTCCCCCTAAGCCCCCTCCACCCATTATAACCGTTCCCGCCCCTCCCACTAACATAGAAGAGCACCCTAGACGCTTGTTGGAGGACCCGTTCTGTGCCGACGTCATCTTAGTCCTTCAGGAACGGCAGAGGATCTTCGCTCACCGCATCTACCTTGCCACATCTTCCTCCAAGTTCTACGACCTCTTCTTGACTGAACCTCGGGGCCCTGAGGAGACCGAACGGGAGCGAGAACGACCCCGAGGGCCACCGATTTCTGGCCGCGATTTGCTGATGCGCGCAGCTAGTTTTGACGTTTGTGAAAGTAACGGTGACAAAGATAGAGCAAACTTGCGTGCCTGTACCAGTGATGGAACTCTAAAAGGTGACGAAGATCATCGTGGTCGTCTGCTCCCTGCCTTGAGTCGTGCTTTTATTAGCATCCAAGAAGAAATGGTGGATGACCCCGTCACCATCAACCTTAGAAAAATGACTGTTGTGCACATGGACCCTTCAATGCAGCCCGGTCCATTCCGATCTGTGTTGCGGTACCTGTATACAGGGAAACTAGACGAGCGGGAGAAGGAGCTAATGCAGGTTGCCCACATCGCAGAGCTGCTGGAAGTGTTTGACCTGCGTATGATGGTGGCTAACATCCTGAACGATGAGGCCTTCATGAATCAGGAGATCTCCAAGGCCTTTCACGTGAGACGCACCAATCGAGTGAAAGAATGTCTGGCAAAAGGGACCTTCTCTGGTGAGAGGCATGTGAACTGTATGTTTTCTTGGTACTGTAGTTATTAGGGATGGGCCAGGATGATAGTCAAGTCAACCAAAAAGCAACTAGTTGGTAAATGAGGTGGACTAGGGCTTTTATCTAGTTTGCCATGCCTGCTTTTACATTAAATGAACTGTCTTTAAGAGTAAATTTCAAGACTGTTGAAAAATGGAATTGCTTTGAAATTGGTGAAAAGTTTAGAGGCCATTATTTCAACCAAACAACTATTCAGAATACCTAAATGAAATGTTGCCATTCAAAAAGTTACATGAAATAAGTCAAATACATTAAAAATCTAGTTAGATGGAATGCTTTCACACTGTTTTTCTAGACAGTGTTCTTTCAATGATATAAAAAAAATATTTAATAATTTTCATTTATATGCGGCAAAATGACATATCTTCTATAAAACCTTCTGTATATGAAAAATAGGAGTAACAATTTTAAGCAATACCACACAGATATCTCACAAACATTTTTGGGTGATCTTGAGTAATACAAACAAATTGCTGAATCAGGGTTTTGAATTAAAGGGGTCCTATTATGCTTTTTCACTTTTTTTAATTTGAGTCAGTGTGTAGTGCGTATATTTGGTGCTGCACATTTTACTGAGGACAGCTTCCACAACACGAGTGAGTAACAGTGCCGGATTCCCAAAAGCTTTTGTTGAAAGACGGAGCAAGGGGCGTGGCAGTACTGAAACACCGTCTAAGCTGTTCGCCAGTCACAACGCACTGGGACAGCTAACCAATCACAACACATTTTGTTTTTCGGAAGGCGGACCTTCATCAAAGCCAGAACTAATCGAGCCGTTTGTGCCAGGCTGGGAAGAAAGGTATTTTAATAATGTAAATTATGTGAAAACTAATGCGTTTTTCGAACCACCAAGCATGAGATCATGTTCTAGTACACCCCCAAATCAAAATCAAGACTTTGTAAAAGAGCATAATAGGACCCCTTTAAGTCATTGAAAAGGACAGTTTGAAGTGATTTGCGGAAAAAAAAAGAATAAAACACTTTAGGAAATAAAAACTCTAGGAAACCTAATGGCGAGTTAAAATTTTGCAATATTCAAGATGCTGCAAAATGATCACAGATATATAATGAATATTCAATATATCACCCAGTCTTAAAAATCTGTAGGTCTCTGTTTGTTTGTGAGAACTGTGATTAGCATTGTGCATTATGTTATTACTGTTAGTATAATGGAGGACAGTTTTGACATCCTTGTTACCGAGCTGCCTCCCATGCAGACGCCTGTTCAAATCCCACTTGGAGTGGTGTGAGTAGACCTGGAAGGGCTATATTGGTGCCGTGACCCGGATGGGAGTGAGGTTTGGGGGGTGAATGTAATGGAGGCCAGCTAGTAAGAGCTGTGTGAATAAACCTCACTCCACTCCACGCGCACTAGTGACTGATGCTAGGAGCTTAAGTCTTTAGGGTCCTTGTTAGCATGCCTACCTCCCATTCCTGAGATGTACGAATAGAACTGGAGATGTTACATTACCTTATTTATTTGTTGTATTTCTGTCAGTTACACTAACTGTGCCTAGCATTCAGACAACTGATGGGACTAATTTAGCTGTCCTTTCGTCCTTTTTCCTGTAAATGTCCCTATTTGTCACCCCAACCTTTCTGTGTTGTGTAGAATAATAGTGTCAGCTGTATATTGAAAAGCAAACTTCTGCGTTTTTGGTATTTGCACATGCTGGGTGTACAGTGTACCTCCTAGCAGAAGGTTGCCCAGCATTATTTACAGTATAACCAAAGCAATTTTTTTCTCAAATGTGAGATGTGCTCAAGCAGAATGTCCCTTCAAGCTATTTTCCCCTCTACTTCAGCTCTCAGCTCAATTATTCGCCCCCAGAGAGAAAAAACAAGCCTGCATATTTTGTCAGCTGGATTTCGGTTTCATAATAAGTGCTCTTCTGGTAGTGAGAACCGGTGCGGCTGTATTGTGTTTTTCAGCACTCTTAGGGTTTGGAGGACATCAAGCTGTCTTGCAATGCTGACCGAGCTTTTTCCTCTCCAAACATAAACTGAGCATTTCTATTTATTTATCCTTCACTCTAGCACTATGATTGAGCTTTAGTGGAATGTAATATTGAGCCTGTCACAAAGTGCCTTTTAAGTTGTCAAGATGATATTGTCCAATATTGTCTGAATTTAAGATTGGACCATGTCCACATAACAATAGTGGTAGTTCCCCTTGTGTCCGTTTCAGATCTACTGTAACAAGGGATGATTTTAGTTAACTTCAGTAAAATATTATAGTAAATATTGTCAACAGTAAGTGTTCACTTCATTTCAGCATCAGAATCGCTATGTATGCTGATTTACCAGAGAGTGGAGAATGTTTATATGAGATAGATGTGATATATCATTATAATAGTGATTTGAAAAGCTACAGAAGATTGTCTGTTCTTTGCTGCAGATGTGGTGTTCAGATTGGATGATGGCACTATTATGGCCCATAAACCACTGCTCATCTCAAGCTGTGATTGGATGGCAGCCATGTTTGGTGGACCATTTGTGGAGAGTTGTACAAAAGAGGTACAGTGCACTCACATTAAGACTAAACCAGTACCACTGGGAACACTGAGCTTTTAAAGATGACATTTGTGGTGTATATTTTAATGGTAACACTGTTATATTGAAATTGAAAAAGAATAGGCAGAGACAAAAAAAGGAAGAGGTGATTTAATTTTGTACTATCTGAAGCAAGTAGTGTTGATGGGACATTTAAGTGATGTTGAAACGGGGTTATTATAGTTAACTAAAACTAAAGCAATAAGAAACCTGAAATAAAATAAAACTGGTGAGTTTCCACAAAATTTGAAAACAGCTGTGGTGACCCCAGTTTTTAAGTCTTGAGAGACTGATGAGGTGTGTAATTATAGACCCATCTCAATTATCCCAGCAATTTCCACAGTTTTAGAAAAGTTAATGGCTGAACAATGGATTAATTACTTGGGGGGGGGAGTACTTTGGATTTCAGCCAAAGTATTCAATAGAAATGGCTATTTGTCATTTTATAGATCGCATGAAAAGTAGTTTGGATCAAGGAAAAGTAGTGGGAGCAGTATTTTTAGTCTTTAAAAAGGCTTTTGATACTGTGAATCATGAAGTACTCATAAATAAATTGAAACAAATTAACTCTTCTCAACAAGCTCTAAACTGGTTCATATCATACCTGGGTTGTAGACAGCAATCTGTTAAAATTTGTGGTGTGAAGTCATCACTTCAAAAATGCAAAATAGGTGTACCACAAGGTTCAATATTGGGTCCTTTGCTTTTTTGTTTATGTATAGGCTAAATGATTTACCTGAAAATTGAAAGAAGGTTAGTTGTCAAATGTATGCAGATGACACAATTATTTATGTAAGGCTGCAGGATAACTGTTTAACTTTAAATAACAAAATGGTTTCAATGTGTTTTTCACTAAAGAACAAAGTGCTGGATGTATTTATCAAAATTGACCAAAAGGAGATCAAGGAAGTGAGTGAATTTACATATTTAGGTGTCATTGTAGAAATAAATAAACAAAGGAAAATAATAAGGTGAAATAAATATATTTTTAGATTTTGCACAATTTCTAGGGCACTAATCAAATACTGTATGTAGTTTTGTGTTATTGATCATGTGATGGTCAGATGATTTTGCTTCCATTGAAGCTTAAGATGCACTTTGGATTATGTTTAAGAATGTAAACATAAGGTTTTATACAAACTTGTCAATTTCATGCAGCTTGATACTTAGACATTGAAAAGATGGAGTGCTTATGCAATAATTTTGGACCCCATTATAATTAAAAATGTTGACAAATTATCTACAGAATGCTCAAAGTTGGACTTTACTAATGAACACAGCAGATTCTAATCATACTGTTCTTGCATGGTACTGTAAAACTGAGTTTTTATTCCCCTCAAAAAAGCAGTTTTGAGATTGTTGCCATGTTTTGTCAGGTGCTGTTTCCAAACACTACACGGAGCTGCATGCGTGCTGTGCTGGAGTATCTCTATACTGGCTGCTTCTGCTCTCGCCCAGATCTGGATGCCATGGAACTCATTGTACTTGCAAACCGTCTCTGTCTTCCTCACCTGGTAGCGCTTACAGGTACACAAACATACCTGCACACACACTGTTATTGCTGAGACCATAATGCACATAACAGTCTGATCTCCGCAGGCAACCAAATCCAGTGTTGAGGAGTGAGACAGTGACTGAAAATAACACTATGTCCTTTTGTACTAAAATATAATGTCATTTCAGACTGCAAATTACAGTGATTTTTTACCATGTTTAAAGGGTGTTTTTAGGCATGATGTGAAGCCAATTCGGACATTGACTGGCTTTTCTCTATGGCCTATCTGTAACATATATGCATCTACATTTGCCAGACAATTTCAGATGTCTTTCAAAAAGTGACATACATTGCATTAAAGGTACACATTTATTAAGTTCATGCATTTTAACAGATCTCGTTCAAAGCCGCTTATAATAAGTGGACATGGCAACACTGGCAATCCAGAGCATGATTCACTGCTCTGCTGAAGATCAAGAGATCATTATGAAAAATATGTTCAAGGGTTTATTTTATTGAACAAACTGCGTAATATGATAATCTTCCTTTGTAGCTCAAACAGCACAGTGTGACACTAACAACGGCAAGGTCTTGGGTTCAGATCCCAGGAAATGCATAAATTAAAAAAATAATAATATTTTGAATGCAGTGTAAATCGCTTTGGATAAAAGTGCCTGCCAAATATTTAATATAAACATTTGAACAAATGAATAATATGATATATAAGAGTTATTGCTAACATTTTGTAATAAGGACCCATTAGTTAACAAGCATTAAGAAAAATGTAACTAACAATGAGTTAGCTATTAATCTTTGTTAATGTTATTTAATAATGGAACAGCTGCAGGCACCTATTTAATCCCTTAAAACTCATCTTTGATAATCAGTATAGCATACAATATTTAAAACTTTTTTCCTGTGAAAATAATGTTCATGCCTTAAATGACTTGACTATAACTCTACACCCTTACCTCAGTATATGCGAACCTATTGAATATGCAAATTAGTCCCCGGCTCCACTGAAATCACATGTAAAAGTAAAAGCTACACAATGGCAAGTGGCAATACTGGATTAATTCAGCCGTATATGTTTAAACCAGAAACTGACTGCATTTTATGTATGACTCTCTAATGTTGAACATGTAACAGTAATTGATATCATTAGCCTTTGTCTTGACCACATTATCAAACAGCTAATAATGTGTTGCTAATGTTACACAAACCATGTTCCTGTTCCCCATCTGAGACAGTTAAAAACCAAAAAACAACATCATTCCATAGAAACGTTTGTGAAAAGCCCGGCAAGATGACGGGATTGAGTGGTGCAGGTATGACATCAGAACCCAGAAGACTAATTCGCTGCTGGTTCCGAGATTTTCCTATGGGGTTTTATGATTTTTTTTTTCGTCCCAATTTATGAGTAAAATAAAGCCTTTGGTAAACATAACTTGATGATACTTTGACGTTTTGTTCTAAAGCGTAAACGGCACACACCCATACCGAAAACGTGAATTTTAAAGCAATTTGTTTATTGTTTTAAACTTGATAAGACGGTTTGGGATATCAGTGTGTGCAATTTATGTTGTAGGACAAAACGTCAAATTTTTTCAAGTTATGTTGACCACAGGCTTTTCTCAATGGTGTTGACTGATGAATTTCGACATGGCTTAAACATTAAAACACCAGACAGACATGTAAACAACATTAAATACTTGATTCTTTCTCTAATGTTAACAAATGGAACCTTATTGTAAAATGTTAACAGTTCATTTATTAACAAAGAATGCAAACCAACACATAATTGTGACATATTCTGTTGTTTTTATGAGTGTTGTGTGTCTGTCCTAGAGCTGTACACTGTGAAAGTACTGACAGAAGCTGCCATGATGGGAGCTGATATAGATGGAGATGTTCTGCTCTATCTGGACATGGCCCAGGTAAACATACCATTGACAGACAGAATGAAAATGCACCCATGTCAAATTAAATCCTATCTCCTTTGCACCCCCAAAGATGACTGTTTGTAAAGCATGATCCAAACCTTTCACATTATCCTGTGGTAGTAGCTGTTAGTATTGTCATGATGCCAACATTTTGACTTCGATATGATACCTGACTAAAATATCTCGATACTACTACTGAACCACTACTACGACAAAAACATAAAACAACAGGAAAAGTAATTGAATAATAGATGATTCAAATGGAGCTTATAGTTATTTAAAAAATTGAAATCTTTCACTTGACCAGTGTGTGCCTGCTCTGCTTTTTGAGCATTTCATCCCCCTTTAAAAAAAATAAATAATAAAAATCAGATGGCAGTACCACTACACAGGACTATAGTGAGCAACTACCAAACCTACAAGTATGTATCTTTGCAACATTGGTAAGCTAGCTAAAAGCATAAAGCCAACTTAGACGGTTATTATTGACCTCATTTGCCCCATCAAACTGGGAAAAAGTGAAAAAGTTAATGTGTAACAAAATAAACACACTCTTTTGACTTATATTTAAGGGCATGAGCTAGGGGTGGGAAATATTACCAACATTTTATTTCACGATATGAGAAATATTATTCCAAGATAACAATTTATATCATGACATAGTCATTTTTTATTTTATTTTATCTTTGTTATTATTAATAAGAACATAGATGCAAGTAACAAACAAAAGGACAAATACAATAAAACAAAGACACAAATGAAATAAACTTGTTTTTGGTAAAGTATGTCTATTTAACAGTAGCATTCAAGCAAGAGATAATATAGAAATTAAATAAAGTGATCAACATGTAAAAATAAAGCACTGCATAGTCTTAACTGTATGAATTAAATATACATTGATCCTTATTAAAGCTAGTCAGTCAACATAAGTGAGTGATTTTTCTTTATCTTTTGCTGTTTGATTAACCTTGTCAGTCTTATGCACACCCCTTCAAGTAAAGTGTTACCCATTATAGATATAGACAGCAACAGGAATATTACCCTGCTGTCACTTTAAGAGCTGCCCGGATCCAGTTTATTGATACACACACGTTTTCTTTCTCAGCTGTTTAAGTCATAAGACAAGATTGTAATTTTATCATAATTGTGTGTGTATTTGACTGTTGAAGTACAATAACTCGTGAAAGAGATCTGAATTCTCGATCGCATGCTGTCTGTAAGAGAGGCAGCTTTCCATGCACGCGTCGGGTGTGTGATAGTGCGCGAGTATTGCATGAGTTCTTTTTAAGGTTTAATGCACTTAATAACTACTTTTAACATCAAGCACGTCCCACGCTTTATTTTCTAATTCATGCATGTTTCTTATCCTTATTTAAACTGTCAGTAAGTTTAAGCAGTCCTGCGCTGCACGGATATATAAAGTTTGGCACGACTACTGTGCATGCAGGGAGTGGAGCAGAGTGCTGAACACACACTGTCCTGCTGTCACACGTCGACGCAACTCAGGAAATACAGCTCTTAATAAAATTCATTTTTAAAATACCGTTACTAGTAAAATGCGGAATTTTACCGTTTTTTTTTTAAACAGGGTATCAAGATACCTTTTTAGTACTGTGCAACACTAGTAGCTGTATATAAAATATATTTAACAAGATATTAAATTGACTTTGAACTTAAAACCAATTTAGAGTGCACTGACAAAAGCAGATAGATGGCTACAGAGTTTTGTCAGATCAGTCTGTTACCCCTGTCATCCGGCATCCGTTGATGTTGGTCGGCGCTTGTTTTCACCAACTGAACATGTTGAATCTGCGTTTATTGGGGGAAGTGACATGCTGTAATCTGGTGACTGTCGGAGTTGGTCTGCGTCTGTCGGTGCCGGTGTAGATCTATCTATCTATCTATCTATCTATCTATCTATCTATCTTTAACATATATGAAGCATTTTGATATATTTAGGTTAGGGATTGTTTTTGTTTGCTGTTTTTTCTTGCAGGATCTGGCAACACAAATGAGTCAAGGCTCGTACCTTTTTGCCTGCTTTCTTGAACTGCACATACAGAAGAGACACAACTCTCATACACGTTTAAATATGTCATTAACAACTAGTTGTTCAGTTTGGTTCTGTACACACTGCAACCAAATAGACTAGTTGTTTTGGAGTCTAGGAGGGGAAGCATCTCAAAATGTCTGATTTTCTCTATAGTGTTTTTTCATCTGTGTGATTGTTCCCATTAGTTCCACTGTGCTCATCAGTTGACTGACTGGTGCCTCCATCACATCTGCACCAACTACAACAGAGTCTGTCGCAAATTCCCTCGTGACATGAAGGCCAAATCTACAGGTAATCCAACAGCCATCAGATCAGTATAACTGCCAACACTTCAATATTTATTTTAGCTTCAAAATTAATATTGAGAAATGACAGTCTATAAAACTGAGACTTGATTTATTTTGTTGTCACTTAAAAAATGAATACAGTGTGGCAGACACCCCTAACCTAACAGTTATCTCAGTATTGAAATGATTTCTGCATTAAGCTAGTGTCATGGTCTCATTCTATCCTGCAGAAAACCTGGAGCACTTTGAGAAACATCGCTGGCCTCCGGTGTGGTATCTGAAGGAAGAAGATCACTACCAGCGGGCACGCAAGGAGCGTGAGAAGGAAGATTACCTGTACCAAAAGCGTCAGTGTAAACGCAAGTGGCTCTTCTGGAATCTACCGTCTTCACCGTCCTCCAGTTCTCCGTCTTCTCCTGGTTCCTCTGCAGTCATCTGATTGGCTCTCAGGGTGCACGACCCACCAAACAGCCCTAAATGTGGGATATAAACACACAACAAGGAATGATAGCCTTTTTCAACTCTATAAGATTACCTATTCACATTTTCTGTTAAGCAAAATGCTCAAGCCCTGCTTTTAGCTGCTGAAGAACAAGCAAAAATGAAACAGGATAGAGAACATAAGTAAAAGCAACACAAGGCTTTGACTAAAAGCACATTGTTGAGTCTTTCTACTTTACTGGTTGGATTTTTCATCAAATCACGTCAGCTTTGACGTCCTCCTGTGACATAATTTCCTGCGGTGGTAGACTGCTGCTCAATTTGCTGTTTAAAGACAATCTTCGCTCAGCATCGGTTCCCCAAACATAACCATATCTTCATCTGTATAGAAAAATACATGGCAGGACTGCACATATTCATAACTTGAAATCCTAATAAGTGCTTTTCAGCTCTAAAGGACGAGAACACAGGAACGTTTTAGAGCAACCAGCAAACACGAATTCCTCATTGTTTTCGTAATCTACAATCAAACCACCTCAACAGACCGACGTTCTCAACATTCAAATGGTGTCCACCGTTCAACATCTAAAGGTATTATTAATATGACATTTAAAGGTTGGTGGTTCATGGACGGCCGCGTGTGGACGTGACTCCACAGAACCAGATCAGTCCATAGCCATGTTGTGGTTCAGTGTGAGTTAAGCTCCGTTGATAACATCTGGCATAAAGTTGCTTAACACAGAAAATGATAATCGTTGGTACTTTAAGGCATTTACAATGGAAATATACAGGGCCAGGAAATAAACATTAAAAATGCACACTACAGACAAAGTACAAGACTTAAAGTTGCAGTGAAGTAGCAACAGATATTTTCTTCTGTATTGAGACACATCTGAGTGAAACGGATTACTGAAAAAAAGAAAAAAAAAGTAGGGCAGGGTTCTAGGGTCTAGGCATTGGCTCTTAATTGGATGGAGGCAAATATTAATGACGATGTTGCAGCAGTAAATCTTACACTACAATAAAAAAGAGCCTTGACTCATTTGTGTTGCCAGATCCTGCAAGAAAAAACAGCAAACAAAAACAATCCAAAACCTAAATAAATTAAAATGCTTTATATATGTTAAAGATAGATAGATAGATAGATAGATAGATAGATAGATAGATAGATCACTCACTGGAATATTCCACTCGCTGGAATATTCCACTCGCTGGAAAATTGTTGATAATTCCAAACCAGAAGCTCATCCATCTAGAAAAGTTGTTAAATCACCACAAAAATAAAAATTGTCTATTAACTGCTCATGCAAGTTCTTCAATAATGAGCTTCACATTTCTTCACTTTTACTTCCTTACAAATGTGATACTTTAAGTGCCAGTTTTGCTTAAAATACCAAACTACAAGTCACATTTACCAAGTACAAGTTTTTTTTCCCCAAAAGAAATTAATATTTTTAATCAGCATGGATGCATTAAATTGATCAAAAGTGACAGTAAAATACATTTATAATGTTCCAAAATATTTCTATTTTAAATAAAATGTCAGGCCCTTTCTTTAAGAACATGCTTCACAACTCCTTGTTCAAGCTCTTGTTCTGTCCAGGCTGGACTATTGCAATGCTCTCATGGCAGGTCTTCCAGCCACTTCAATCAAACCTCTACAAAGTCGTGGCCTAATGGTTAGAGAGTCGGACTCGTAACCCAAAGGTTGCGAGTTCAAGTCTCAAGTCCGGCAGGAATTATAGGTGGGGGGAGTGAATGTACAGCGCTCTTTTCCACCTTCAATACCACGACTGAGGTGCCCTTGATCAAGGCACCGAACCTCCAACTGCTCCCCGGGCGCCGCAGCATAAATGGCTGCCCACTGCTCCGGGTGTGTGT